TTCCTATAGTTATTTTTTAAACTTTATAAATTTTTCAGTTTTTGTATTTTTTTTCTTTTATTGAGACAGAGTCTCACTTTGTCACCCTTGGTAGGTAGAGTGCTATGGCATCACAGCTCACAGCAACCTCCAACTCTTGGGCTCAAGCAATTCTCTTGCCTCAGTCTCCCAAGTAGCTGGGACTACCCATGCCTCCCACATGCCCAGCTATTTTTTGGTTGCAGTTGCCATTGTTGTTTTAGCAGGCCCAGGCCTGGTTTGACTCCACCAGCCCCAGTGTCTGTGGCCAGTGCCCTAACCACTGAGGTATGGGCCCCCAGTTTTTGTATTTTTTATGTCCAAATATTATAGGGGTACAACATGTTTTAGTTACATGAATTGCTTTTGTACAATGTGCGTCAGAGTTCTAAGTGTGCCCTTCAGCCAGGTAGTGTGCATTGCACCCATAATTTACCCGTTCCTTCCTCCCTTCACCATCTGCCTGGCTTCTGATGAGTGTTATTTCTGTATGTGCACATAAGTGCTGATTGATTAGTTCCGATTTCACGGTGAGTACATGTGGTGTTTGTTGTTCCATTCTTGTGATCCTTAACCCCATTGAAAAGTGAGCAAAAATCATAAACAGAAACTCTCAAAAGAAGATACACTAGTGACCAATAAACCTATAAAAAAAGTTCAACTTTTCTAATTATCAGGGAAATGCAAATCAAAACCAGAATGAGATATCACCTAACTTCGCTGAGAACGGCTCTTATTAAAAAGATCCCAAACAACAAATGCTCATCAGGATGTGGAGAGAAAGGAACACTTACACACCATTGGTGGGACTGCAAATCTATAGCTCTTAAGGCTACCCACATACAAAAAACTCTCAATCAGGGCGGTGCCTGTAGCTTAAAGGAATAGGGTGCCGGCTCCATATGCCGGAGGTGGTGGGTTCAAACTCAGCCCTGGCCAAAAACTGCAAAAAAAAACCAAAAAGAAAACCCCGTCAATCAACTTTGGAAGATGGTATGGAACCAACACTTTATTCATTGTTTGTTGTTGTTGTTGTTGTTTATTTGTTTTTGAGACAAAGTTTCACTCTGTTACCCTGGGTAGAGTGCCAGGGCACCATAGCTCACAGCAACCTCAAATTCCCAGGCTTAAGAAATCTTCTTGCCTTAGCCTCCTGAGTAGCTGGGACTATAGGTACCTACTACAATACCCAGCTAGTTTTTTTTTTTTTTTTTTTTAGTAGAGACAGGGTCTTGCTCTTGCTCAGGCTAGTTTTGAACCCCTGAGCTCAAGCAATCCAACGACTTCAGCCTCCTAGAGTGCTAAGATTACAGACATGAGCCACCACACCCAGGCACCAACATTTTATTCAAAACACAAGAAAGTTAAATGAAACAACTAAATATTTACATCACATTTCTTTTACAAATAATATTTTCAGCATACCAAGCAGTTACTTTGGAAAGACTTTTTAAAATAATTTCAATGATTAGCTATGGAGGCAATGGTAGAATTAGAATATCACCTTTTAACTTCTAATGAAATAACGTATTTAGTCCATAATCATCAATGGCTATTAAAACCATCAAGTGAATTGCAATATGGACCTTTATCATGGTAGATCAGGCTAACAACAGCAAACCTACCATCCTGTATGAATGCCAAAAAAAGTAAAGAACTAGATATTATATGCTTCCCAAAGGAACCATACACACCCCTATAAAATAGGCATGTCATAAATCTAATCTGAATTGGATCAAGCCTTTAGCTACACAGATAAACAGAAGCCAGACAAAGGTGTGAAAGTCCCTGTAGGGAGGCCAGCAGCAGATTTTAGAATGTGAGAGTCCAGAAGAAGATGGCCTTCTTTCTTCAGCAAATTATGAAGAAGAAAAACGTGAGTTAAAATTTATAAACTAAAAGATCTGTAAGAGTTTCAGCCTATAGGAAATCATCACTTCCCTCCTTAGAACGAGAAAAGATGCTGAACAAACTGAATAGCAAAGTCTTTTCTTAGACCCATCAGAGAACCGAGATCACGGGCAACCATCACCCCCAGATCTGGCAAGACAAACGCAGGGAATCTCAGCCAAGATCACTTTACATGGAACAGAAGTCACTGGAGCCAAATGCAGATGAGAGCACTTGAGTGGTTCTCAATCTTCCTAATGCTGTGACCCTTTAATACAGTTCCTCACGTTGTGGTTGACCATAAAATGGTCATATGTGGTTGAATCATAAAATTCGAAAATAATTTTATGGTTGGGGGTCTATCACAACGTGAGGAACTGTATCAAAGGGTTGCGGCTTTAGGAAGGTTGAGAACCATGGTAATTTTGATGAATTCCTGTAGGTTGAGTGTGGAATAGCTGGACAATGAGAAACTCTCGGAGGCCCAGCTATAGGGCCTCTCAGGATTTTTGTGGGTTTACCTTCAGAAACCCACCAAGACTTAAGGTGAAAATCCAAGAAAAAATTCCAGTTTGGGTAGGGAGATAGAAAATTAACAATTTTAATTATGCTTAGGAAAAAAACAACCTCTTGAAATATTCCCATAGATAGTGGACTCTGTAACAAAGGCCTGACCATAATTTAAGTAAGGGAAAATGCTTTACCAGAGCCTTATCTAATTTGAAGAAGGGCAACTAGCCAACATTAGGCTCTATAGATTTGTATCTCCTCTAAAGGGAGCAGGGATAAGGCTAAGAAACACTCGTGCAGCTCCCAGCTCAGTAACACAATTCTCCTGAAAGCTGAAATATAATCACAAGATAAAGAGCCATTTTGGCCATCTTGAGATGGATTTATCCTGACTCCTTTTGGTCGTTGGTGTTGGCCACCTACATCTCTGCTTCTTTTCCTGTCTGAGTTTTGATTGGAAACCTGATAGTATGAATGATACCTAGATATCTAGACACGAGCGACTTTTATTCTAGCTGACAAGTAACTTGGCTGGACTCAAACTCCATACTCCGTTGACCCTGCAGTCGGTGATAATTGGCATTCGTGCTTTCCAGCTGCTGTTCCTCTCTAAATATAACATTTGTTTAGCGGTCAGTCGACATTTCAGGCCACGATTGGTGACATATTTGGGGACTCAACTGGTCCCCTTCCAAGCTTCCTGTCTGTTCTCCAAACCACAAACTCTGGCTTGCTCTGTATCAGAGCAGGAGGACTGTAGCGTTCTGCTGCCCTGAGCTGCTTTCCCAATGGAGATTGTCCTCAGGAAAGAAGTTAGAAACTCCCCAGTCCCTCAGGTGCAATTCCTTCAAGGAGGGCTGGGCCTCCAATCCAGGAAGTTTGTTCCAAAGATTGCATCCTACCTCTGAACCACACCAGTCAAATTTATTTTCATAGAAGACGAAACCCCTAGGAGAAATTGCTAAACCTAGCTTACGATTTTAGCCATGCCTCATTTTTTTGTTGTCTTCCAAAACCAGAGGGTGGATGCCGGGATTTTGAATGCCCCTCTAACCATACCTGGTAGTAGTACATTGTTCTCTAATACAGACGGGAAAGTGCAGAAAACAAGGGAAGTGTCACACACCTGTGCATTTCCTCTTTGTCTCCACTAGAGGGGGAAGCGATACCAAACTTGATGAAAAGCTTTGCAAAAGAAACTCCAGTGTCCATTCCCATCGGGTTTAATAGTTTGAGATTCACTGTAGAAAATTTAGAACATATGGAAAAGCATAAAGAAGAAAAACCTCACCCAAAATATCAGTGTTATAAACATTGTTTATCCCTTTTGTGCTGCCCAACAGCTGAACCTCCTTCACTATAGAGGTGGGAATACCTGTTTTCCCAACTTCCTCTCGCAGCTGGAATGTGGGCACATAGCTGAGGGTCTGCCCCAGACCCGAGTCTGAAAACACAAGAAAGCAGGAGCAGGAAAGAATACACACCGGGGACAGGGGCAGCCCGGAGAGTGGCAGCCATCTCTGCCTTCTGCAGTGGCAAGGTCGGTGACACAGGTGAAGGCATGGATGAAGACACTGCCCAGTTCATTTGGGAGCTGGGATTTACTGAGTTGCTTGGCTCTTTACACTGATGCCTTTCATCAAATTGGGGGCATTTGTGGACAACGTTATGGTGCTGTGGGGACTTCACTAAC